TCATTGGTTTTGAACTTATTTATAACTGAGTTGGTTTTTCCGCTGCTAAATTCTGAATTAGCCTTAACGTTTGAACACGTGGCGGTAGTACGTCAGTAATTCTCTTGGATTTTATTAAAGGTATTTACAGGTTTAAAGATAGAATTATTGGGATGTTACATATGGGGGGGGGGGGTTATGTGACTTTATATTTGATCATAACTTCTACTGGAAGTACAAGATGCTGCATTTTCCTTTTTATTTTTTTGCGCAGGACGTCCGTCACTCTCAAGTGACATTTATGCCTACCCGGTTAGCTCTCAGAGTAGTTTATCCCAATTCTTTGGGGTAAGGATTTGGTGGGAAATCCGTTCGATGCATTATCAAAATAAGTAAAGTAATGAGTCCATGTTGTGTCTATTGTTTTTAGGTTGAACTCTGAGGCAAGGTAAGTTTTGTTGTTATTGCTAGGATGCTATCATGTTAGTGTGTTTCCTATTACGTTTATGTACTCAGCATTGCTAGTTGTTGTGTTTTGTGTTCATATTGGCCTTGTCTTTATCTTGGCTCTACGACGACCCATTTCTTATGGTGAGTAGTGTTTCGGGGTTTTTTGATGTCCTGCGGGAGAGTTACAATTCCGGGACTGAATCCGTGCGCCTGTACCTGCAAAACAACGGAAACTCCGGTTGGTGGGAGCTCCGCCTCCAACGATCAAGTTAGAACGTGTTTAAGGAGTAAAAGGTGCGGAAAAGTAAAGGTGATCTGGTTCTTCTAGGGGGAGGAGTGATCAAGGTGTACAATTAATTGCTAAGTCTGGTCTAGTAGTGAGAATGCACGTGTGTTTAGGCTTCTCTTGGTGAGATGAGTAATTAATTCTGAATCTGTTTAATGGAGGCTAATTACTGTTTTATAGCCTCGAAGTACGTGCCCAATACTAGGTTAAATGGTAAACCTAGGACTGATTGGGCTTGCCTCGGGAATTGGGCCCAGTTGGCCGTTTTCCAGGTTGGCAGATCGTGGGCCACGTGCACGTGGCGTGGCGTGATTAGTCCATGTTGGACCTCTCAGAGTGACAAGTGCACGGACGCTGATTGGTCCTTATGGCGGACACGTGGCAGGTCTGGATTGGTCCATTTGTCATGGTTATTTTTACCCTAATCAAGTAGTAGGGACAATTAAAGAGAAGCTTTTCAGGTGATGCGCCATATTCATGTTGAGGTTTAAGTGAAGAGCAAATCTTGTTCTAGTTTCTTTCAAATATGTGTTTATTATTTATTGTTGGATTATTAATATTGAATGCCTACACTAACGCATTGGTTTTAAATACTTTGGTTTTGAAAGGGCCTACAATGGTTCCAAGTTATAGGCTTGACTTCGTTTGACTTTGATTTGACTTTACTTTCATTTGGTTGGACTGTTGTACTTTTACTTTGTTTTGAAAGATTTTGAAAAGAGTCTTCCGCTGTGTGTCTTTGATAAATGTCTTAGCCGTTATCACGGTGGTAGTAATACCTTATGATTTCCTATTTGTGTTTTAAAAAGGGTAAAACAGGTATTTTAAAGGAAAGAGATTTCTAGGGTGTTACAATTGTGAAATACTAGATATTTCCGAATATAGTTAGTTGGCCATCCCATCCAGCGTTAAAAATGACTATTACTCAAATGTAGTTTGGAACGATGGAATATTATTTAGGAAAAGGTAATCAATACATAGGCCAACTACATGAATAATGAATGATATATATATTTATATTTCTAAGAATAATATATTTCTAAGAATAGCGGTAACAGTAACAACATACAGAGAATTATTATTCTGATTTTTGTTTAATTGTATTTCTTGCCTATTACTACTCATCAATTTATACTTATAAAGTTATATGGGCGTAGCACATGCCTTTGACTAGTTTAAGCAAAAACTACTCCAGATTTAAAAAAGGTACAAGAAATTACCACTCGGACTGCAGAAAGAGATGACGATGATATGGATAGTGGAGGACAGGTCTAAAAGCTGTCATAATGAATCAGGTATGTTTCCAATCGAATTTGAAATCACATAAATAAAAGAGTTGAAATGATCAACTAGCACCAAAAAAATCGGCATTACAACAATCATAACTTTAGACACCCCCAGAGTATATTGTTATCTATACTAAGATGTCAAATGTTTCTAAAAGAAAGCACCCTATAATATTGCATATTGCTCGGCAAAGAAACCATATTAAGTCTAATGACATTCATATCAAATCAACATTATAGGCAACATTGAAACATTAGGTACATGATATGAGCTCCAAATTCTCTAAGACGCATCCATATGATCAAAGAAGAATCAAGCCTATAACTGAGTATGTTTAGCATTTTTTAGCACCAAAGGGGATTAAGTACAACTATCAAGAAAGAGGAAAAAGAAAAGGAGTATGTTGAAAACGCCGTTTGGTTTGCACGGGGTAAAAGGAATGGAATGAACAAAGGGAATGAATAAAACAAAGGGAACCACCACCACCACCCCCATAACCCCCTCTTTCTTCACTTTCCCACTTCTCCAGCCATCACCAAGCCACCCCACCGCCCAACCACCACCTCGCCGGAACTCACCACCTCTCGTCGCATCTCCACCACCCTCGCCGCCCCTCCCCTCCCTGAGAAACCTTCCCCCACTCACGCATAACCGTCGACTGCCCCTTACATAACTTAATCAACTGCGAAAATTCCTTAATCCAAAGCCAAAGAATAGAAAAACCTAATTACAAACACAGAAATCACCTATTCAAGACAGAATATAACTTCCAAAACAAGCATTTCAAATCAGAAAAAGTACTTAGGTTTTCGGCGAAAAATCACACAAAGTCTTCAATCGAAATCGATTTAACAAATCCAATCAAGCAACAAACAATGACAAACACAATCAAGAAGAACACGAAGCCTTGGAAATGGAGGAGAGAGAAAGAGAACTTACATATGGCAAATGGGTCTGCGGCGCGGTGGCAAGGTGAGTTCTCGCAAGCTGACTGGGTTTTCGGCGAGGTGCCTGGGTATGGTTGTAACACCCCCGACCCCAAACAAATTAGGGAGGGGGCCTATTGTCACGAAATGCGCATCAAGGGCCAACAACTGTCCTCACAGACCAACACAAGTCCTTTCGGCGCATTTTGTCCTTACTCATGCGCATTCTGGGAAAACCAGGAGGTCACCTATCCCAAGACTACTCCCAGCCAAGCACGTTTAACTGAGAAGTATCTTAACATATGAGCTCCCTAAAAGGAAGATGCATCTTGTTGGTATGAGTAGTATATTAATTCCCTTTAAAGCAATCATGAGGAGTATTACAATAGTGGTGTAGTAGTGGCTAAGGAAAGGGAATGGAAAAGGCTTGGGGGTGGGGCCAATTGACCATATTGGTAAAATAAAAAAGACCTGTATCGACAATTTGGCTAAAAAAAAACTTCAGCTACACTTTGGTAAAAAAAGCTAACCTCAAATGAAGATATAGTAAAAAAAATTATCATAGGAGACAATTAACCCAAAAAACAACAAAAATTCCGACAACCCTTCTCCCGAATGCTTTATTTAGTTCGTTTTTCGTGGTTTTTTTTTTTTTTTTTTTTTTTTTTTTTTTTTTTTACAAAAATTTTCCCACCCCTTTTAGGGCATTAACAATTTGAAGTAAAAAAGCATTATAATTTTCCAACCCCTAATTAACGAAATTCCTTTTTAAAAAGAGGTTGGAGATAAAATTTGATATCGGGATTTATCAAAATAAAAAGGGGATGGCATATTAATACAAATTTTTAAATGGAAAAAAATTAATTTAAAAACACATTAACGAATTAAATTAGGATTTTTGAAGAGTTTATTGGAAAAAAAAAAGATATTTTGGTCTAAATGTCGCCTGAATTTTTTTTTTTTATACCAAATTGTCGCTTAGAGTTAGTTTTCTTTTACCAAATTGCCATCGAAGTTATTTTTGTTTTTTACCAAATTAGGGGTTTTGTTTTTATTTACCAATAAAAAACCGATATTTCATGAAATGCCACTGATCAATTGCAAAATTCACCAAATGCCATGAACCTTTTCAAAATTCACCAAATGCCACCGAGTTTTAACAAAAAATCACCGAGTGCCATTAATGACTGTTGACCGTTAGTTGACCCCACCACTAGCCACGTGTCAATTTATGATTGGTTCGTTTTTTAAAATAGAAAAAAAATAAAAAAATAACAAAAAAATTAAAAAAAAAGGAACTCAGAGGTGGCTAGCCACCACCTCCTCCCTGCCCCCTGCCCACCCCAAAACCCTTGCCACCACCACCCCCTGCCGCCGGGGCTAGCACCAGAAGGCGCGCCGGCCGCCGGTGACCCTTCCCCTTCCCCTCTCCTATCCCATCGCGACCCACCGAAGCTTTAAACACAAAATCCAAAACCCACTCCCTTCCTCCACCTCCCCGAACAATTCAAATCAAATTGGGGCTTAATTGAGGTTTATGCGGCTACAATGGTGCGAAGGCTGGTGGTGCGGCTGTGATTAATTGTGTGTGGCTAGCAGGGGTTGCGGGATTTCTGGCGGAGCAGGTTGTAAATGGGAGAGGAGCTGCGCGTGGTGGCTGTGAATTAGTGGTGGAGATGCGTTGTTGTAACGGAGCCGGTGGTTTTGGGGGTTTTGCGGGTGGTTTTGGGGGTTGGCGGTGGGTCAGGTGGGTTGCTAAAGGGTCGGCCGTTTTTCGGCAAGGTAAGGGGAGGGGCAGGGTTTTGGGGTGGTGGCTGGGGTGGTTTCAATGGTTTCTGTTTTTTTTTTAAAAAAATATTTTTTTTAAAAACGAACCAATCAGAAGGTGACACGTGGCAAGTGGTGGGGTCAACTAACGGATAGTGACGGTCAACTAACGAAAATGACATTTGGTGATATTATACTAAACCTCAGTGACATTTGGTGAATTACGAAAAACGCTATGACATTTGGTGAATTTCGAAATTACTCGTGGCATTTCGTAATATAACCGAATAAAAAACTACAATATCACGTATTAACCATTGAACCTTCTCTCTCCTAAAGGCCAAATTCTGTTGGTATTCCATTGAATATTACAGATCGCACATCAATTGCTCGTTCATTCGTTCAAGTTGGCCTTGCACTACTCTCTTTCATCTTTCATCTTCAATTTCAATCTCAATCTCCGAGATCGAGAAGCGTAAAGCAAAAAGCTAAAGATGTTCAAGTTCTTGAAAGGAGTAGTTGCAGGATCTGGCACTGGCGTAAAGGATCTACCCTACAATATTGGGGAACCATATTCCTCTGCTTGGGGTTCTTGGGTTCATTCTCAAGGCACTTCCAAGGTAAATTTTTAACTTTTTTCTGCAATTTTTTGTAATCAATTTCCTCTAATTTTGGTGGGTGATTGAATTTTGGTGCTCAAGTTAGCAATTGCTGTGACTTTGTTGATTGAATTGAATTTTGTTGTAAATTGCACTATGTTTTTGGTGTGATTGGAATTTTTTATTGGGGTGATTAGTGGGAATCTGAATCGTATTGTCGGCGAAAATCGTTACGTTAGTCGGAAAGTCTTCTTGAGATGAATGTACTATGTTTATTGATTGTATTGGCTCTAATTGAATTCATAGTGTTCATTTTAACTCGATCTCGTAGTGGTTTGGTTCGACTCGTGTAGCTGGATGGTATCAATTACTTGATTGCTGTGAAAGGGTTGGATTTTTGGCAATTGGGAATTGTCTTGATGGGTGTTTACAGGTCTTTCCAAGTTATTTTAATTTTTTTTTTTTGTTTGATATTCAAGCTCGTTTCATTAGTTGGATGTGCTGGTTAGAGTAAGACATGTAATGGTTGTCGATTTCTCCTGCAGTTAGTTGTGATTGAAAGATGGTTGGATGAATTGGGGTTCTATGTTTGACTAGGATCTTAGATATGCAATTGCTATTTGGCTTTGGTCTAGTGATGTAAACTGCACCTGGGATGAGTTAGTTTGGTGAGGCGCAGCAGAATGTTGCTGATTGATATTGAATCGGTATTCTGATTTTATGGGTTAGTTGGTTGCAGTTTGAATGTGTTTAGGGCATGTGTGGTATCAATACATATATTAGAAGAGTTGATTTAGGAGGAGATAGTTTCAAAGATATTTTTTCTAGGGTTAAAATTTTTTCCTCTGAGATATTTTGGATAATTATTATATAATTTCCCTTGTTTTAAAAACTCCTATTTTCTCTTACTTTGTCCCCCCTTTCCATCCCTTCCATTACTAGTCTGTTAGTGCATAAAGGTAGGTTTGATCATTTTCTTGTTAGCCCATGGAAGTTGTCGCCTTAAGAACTTAATTGCAACCTAGTTAACTAGAGAAGGAAAGGAACGGAAAATGAGAAGATAGGGAAGAAGCTTACAAGTGTGTTTTTTATCTAATTTTTCTTTTGAGGATTTGATGCTCCTATTGAAGTGGAGAAAATGCCTAATAGATTTTGTTTCTTCCTTTAGAGAGAGAAACATCCAATCTTCAATGAGGTCCAAGATCATATATGGATGGAAAGGAGGGAGAGAGAAAGCAATGAGAGAAAGATTACGTTAATAGTGGTAAGGTGTGTTTGGATTTGCATGATGGGGCTTGTTGCATAGTGTAATAGCAATTGATGGCACTAGAAAAGTGTAGGAGGTTATGTTAGAAGCATGAATTGTAACTCACTCCATTTCTAAAAGTTCTTCTCGTACAGAGTAGACACTATTCATAGCTTAAGAAACTATTCTAAGTTCTTTCCTACATATGAGAAAAAAACATAGTAAAGTGTGGTGCTGTTGATTTGTCTTGATGAGTACTTTTAGATTATCACTAATATCATGTAATTATAAATTTTGACGATTTAAAATGTGCTTTGACAAACGTTTCAAAAGGAAATGAATAAACGTAAAAGAGCGAAAGTAGCAATGTACAGGAGAGGAGAAAGGGTATTTGGTTATCCATAGGCTATGCTTGGATTGATGGTAATGTATTAAGGGGCTGTTTGGTTCGCATAGGGTAAACGGAATGAAATCAAGAAAGGGTAAGAGAGAGAATTGAAAGCAAAACCCTTTGATGTAAATTGTTGTTTGGGTAATAGTTGGTGAGTCACCTTTCTCTCTCCTCTTACCATTGCACCACCACTACACCACACATTCATATGTTGATGTCACCCTTTATGGTTGTCGCCCTACCATTGCCGTCATTTCTTGCCCCCTCCCCCTCCCCCGCCCCAGCCCCAGCCACCGCCCCCTTCTCCTTGCTGCCATTGCAACCCCTTGTCTCTCCTCTTCTTATTGTTTCACCACCACCATTGAAGCTCAAATTCAAGGTTTTAATGGTAAATTTGACCTTTTAAAGCCCATAATCAATAACATAATACTAAAACGGACACCTGGAATGACACGTGTCACTTCTTGGTGCTATTTTTTCCCTCCAAAGCTCCCCCTCCCTTTTTTAGCAAAAATCTTTTATTTTTAGAATATTTGTTTAATACAACTATAAAATCTATAATAATATATTATTCCTAATATTATATATTATCTTTATAATAATGGAAAAATTGCTTTAAATAATACCACCTTTCACCCGCCCGCTAAAAACAAGTCCACCTTTTGTTTATTTCAGAATAATACCACCTTTGGGGGGTGTCCGCTTTAAACAGGATATTTTACGTGCAACCTTAGTGACCAGTCAACCTTTTGATTTTTTCTTGTAATAACTTCGTTTAACACTTTAATTAACTCTTAATTAGGACTTTAATTATGGTTAACAATTAATATAATTAAAATAAATTTTTTTTTTAAAAAAAAAAACCGCAACAGCTGCCACCTACGTACTTCCCTTTCTCTGGCGCGCCCCACTCTCTACCCGCCGGCGCCGGCCACACCCAGATCCCCCCTTTGGCGTCGGCGTCGGCATCAGCGCCCGTGCCGATCCTTCCCCCTTTTCCCTCTTCCTCGAATTAGCAAACCCCTACCCAAAATCCATCTCCATTACCCACCCTCGAACTAGCAAACCCCCTAAAATCCATTACTCACCCTCGAAAAACCCCAACCGTCGGCAACGGTTTCGATTAGGGTTTTTTAGGGTGGGTGATGGATTTAAGGGTTTCGATTTGGATAAGGCGAGGGGAGCGGCATCAGCGGCGGTGCGGCGGAGAGAGATAAGTTGGGCGGCGGGGAGTGCGGTCTTTTAGGCTGCGGTGGTGGAGGTTGTTGCGAGGTGTTGGAGCGGCAATAGCGTTTGGTGGGGCTTTTGTGTAGGGGTTCGGTGCAGGTGGTGGTGGAGCTGGGCGTCGGCGGAGTCGTTGTGTGTGGGGGAGGGGGAGAGGAGGTGGCTGAAAGGTGGGAGATGTGGTGGCTGGTGTTTTTTTTTACAAAAAATAAATTAAATTAATAATAATAATAATTTTAAAAAGTTAAAAACATTAAAAACAAATTTTATTTTCAGACCAATAAAATGATGACACGTGTCCATATAACCTGTTAATCAAGTTACCAACAGGTTACAACTTGTTAAAAGCGGACACCCCCAAAGGTGGTATTATTCTGAAATAAACAAAAGGTGGATTTGTTTTTAGTGGACGGGTGAAAGGTGGTATTATTTAAAGCAATTTTTCCTATAATAATTGTATTCCTTTTTATTTTGTATTTTATTTACATTAAATAGTTATATTATATTTTGAGACCTTTTAATTAAGGGAGAATTAACTATAATTTAGAAGGTTAAAATATGGTGGAGAGTTTAAAATAATGGAGCCAAAAATACAATATTAACATTTAAATTACCATTATATAGTTGTACAATAGTGGAGTTCATTGGAACAAAAAAACATCATGATGTTGATTTGAAATCTTATGAAATAATAATAATACCTGAGTTAGTTTTTTGTTAAATATTTTTGTAATAATTTTACCAACTTATAACTTTTTTTTTTCCTTCAAAAAATCTACTTCGTATTAACTATTACTAAAATAGGTCATGCTTACATCGATTATTTTGGACATATATCATGCTATCATTAAAAAAATTTCCGCCAATACAAATATATGATCTCAGCTTTATTAAGGTTTTTTATTTTTATTTATTTTTTTATTTTTTTTGAACTAAATTAATTCATTAATAAAATGCCATACAACATCTACATTGTATAGTTTTATTGTGAATAACATGCATCATTAATGTAATATAATTTATATTATTTTTAAATATTTTAAGCAAAACTAATCAAAAATAATATAACTTTTTTCTCAATTATGTAGTTTAAATAATATTTTGCCTTATTATTTCATCTTTCTTATATACAGTGCATTTGTTTATTCCACATGAGTTGCCTTATTTTTATATTATATCATCACATATTAATTAGGGAAAAAATATTATTACTACTGTGCACGGGCACTAATCTAGTTGAAGATATTAAAAGGTAATTTCTCATTTTTAACTATTTTTATTTTTTTTCAAATTTTTAGCCTTATAGGTTTTTGAATGGTTGTTTTTACCGGTGGGTTGGGGTGGTGTCCTGCTGGTGGGGCGTGGTTTTGGAGAAGGTGAGGTTGGTTTTGGGTGGTTGATATGGTGTTCCCAGGGTGGTGAAGGTGGTATTCAGTGGTTGGGTTTGGTTTGATTTGTTATGGGTGGTGGTGCTAGCAGTGGTGATGAAGGTGGAAGTGGTGGTGATGAAGGTGACTTTAGCTTGGTTGGAGGTGGTAGTGTTGGTGGGTACTATTGTGTGGGTGGCTTATGAAAGGGAATGGAAATACCATTTGGGGGTGGGGAATCATGGTAGAGGGAAGTGGGGGAAACAAGAGGGGAAATGGAGTGAAAAAAATGACCTAACAAACAAGAAGTAAGGGAATCAAGTTAGTTCATTCCCTTACCCTTTCTTGAGGACCCCATACCAAACGGCTCTAAGGGACTAATAAAGTTGAACTAGGGAAAATATAAGTGATTAGAGGTGATCTTACAAGAGATAAGGAGTTGAAGATGAAATAAGGTAGGGGTGATATGAGGAAAAAAGTGTGATGGAAATTTTTTTACCCTCATAATGAGGGTAACCGTATCCCACCCTCACTATAGGATGAGTTTTACCTCCAAAATGAGGGTAACATTTCCCATTTCTTCACCTCTTACCGCACCATCACAACATAAGTACATAATCCCCTTACAGTTATACTATCACTATCTCATCTTTCCTTACTACTACTTCTATTTACTTTCATGTTCTTTAGTTTGACTTTTATTACCCTATTAATACCTTATTCCCAATTCATGCATGTCTTTAGAAAGAGAAGAGTAACTTGCCCCCACCTTCCAAAATGTTGACAAGATTCTTGGTGATAAGGATAGGACACTTGCACCTCTGAAAAGCTCTTTCTAAAGTAAGAATTACTTCTATGATGATCACATTGGGTTTTGCTTAGTGCCATTCATTGTTAAGGCATGGAGTATTGGAGTGCAAGTGCATCTGCAAAGTGTTGGTGGTTTTAATATTTAATATAATCTTTTGCTTGACAAAGATCAAGTATGTTTTCCCAAGCTATTTATATTTTTATTTTTTATGTGCGTGTGTGTGTGTGTGCGCACGGGCTGTTGAAAAGGTATTTATCTTGTTAAAGTTTATTAATTCCGTATCATTGATCTATTGTTCCAGGATGATGGGTCTCCGGTTTCAATATTCTCTCTTTCAGGAAGTGCCCAAGATGGTCATATAGCTGCTGGGCGCAATGGGGTAAAGCGATTGCGGACGGTATGCCACTCACGTTACTATATTCCCTTAAACCTATTAAGTTCTAATTGTATTTCATTCTTGAATAAGTTAATGCCTTCAAGTCATGGTCAAAGTAATCTAGAAAATTCTGATGGCGTTCACGAGGCAAAACTTGACCGAACTAATAACAGCCTCACAAAATGGAACTTGATATTTCAGTGGGGGAAATCCCTTAAAAATCCATTGCCTTTTTCCTCTCCAAATGTATCGCCATATTGCTAATGGATTTGTTTTCCAACTTTAACCAACCAAACTTTATTCAATGGTTCAATCTTTTCTTGGCAACAAACACATCCTTTAACAAACTAGGTTATACACTTATACCCATATTACCCCTAACAAGGCTAATGATTAGTGCCAAAGAGAAAGAACTTATGGACAACAGGACAAGAGAGCAAAAGATGATTAATTAGTTCTTTCTCCTAATGGCACAACTGTTGTCACTTGCAATGGAAAAAGTTCTTCTGCAGTTGGGGATTTGGTATCTTCACTTGTGACCCCAGTCACCCCACCCAAGTTTAATAAAGCTTCAGGAGGACTGGGGAGCATTCTTCTTCTGGATATCAACTGCTGGGAAACCCATTGCAACTCTTTATCAAACAAACCCAACTTCAGTTTTAGAATATAGATTCATATCACCATTTAGGATATTCCTGAATATGTTCTTTTTACCTTACAAAATAAAATTTAATGGTTTGAAATTAGTTTTCCACTTCTCTCTCCAATACATCTATTCTTTCTGACATTAAGCATTATCTAAGTTGCTTTTTTCTCCATCTACTTCCGCTAATTTTTTTTAAACTCAACAATTATTATTAAAATTTGTGCCTAAGTCAACTAGGAACTTTATGTGGGGGCGTAGGGAGGGAACCTGGACATGACATATATGGCAGCATACTAGTGTCACAATTCAACGTGGATCAGGATTCAGGGTACACAATACCTTGGGTAGGACAATTATAAACCATATATTAGAGAGTGTTGAGATTCTAGTAAAAATTGGTATTCAAGACCCACAGATAATCTTTTAATTGAAGTATTGTCTGAATTTTTTTTTTTGTTCTGTCAATTGAAGATAAAATCCACCATATAAATAGCTATCCAAGGGTGACAGACATGTCTGGTTCTCCAGCTGCCTTGTTTGGTGCATTTTTCTCCTTTGGCAGTTTGGTGGTTGACCATCTGTTTTGCTCGATGCTTCCTACTCCACTTGATTTTTCTTAAATATTTGTGTACTTGAAGATGCTGTCTTGGCTTTTTTTTGCAGGTTAGACATCCTAATATATTATCATTTCTTCATAGTACTGAGGTTGAGATGTTTGATGGATCTAATACCAAAATCACGATTTATATTGTTACTGAACCTGTTACGCCATTGTCAGAAAAAATCAAGGAGTTGGGTTTAGATGGCAAACAAAGGTATGTGTACTTTACTAATATTTTGTGTGACTAAATTATGTCTCTATATGTTATTATTATTTATTATATATTTTCTTACAGTCTATATTTTTTAAATTTCATTTTTCTTTACTTATCAAGTTCCTCTTCTATTTTCCTCAAAAAAAAAAAAAAAAAAAGTTCCTCATTCTATATGAATTATATTGATTCTTCCTAGTCCATTAATGCTTGTATTCCTTTTTAGGGTAAATCTTAGAGTGTCATTTCACTCATAACTAGAAATATATTACACAAGTAGATCCAAAAGGTAGAAAACCCTTAATAGGGAAGTCGTTCCCAAGGAAAAAATGAGTCCTCTAGGAAAAATTCTAGCCCCACTCTAGTGAACCTATGAGTTTAAATTTGTTTGAATGATTGGACTAACAATAGCCTATATGCCTTGGATTTTGTTTGCTAAAATTAGGCTTTTTATAATACATGTGGGTGTATTAGAAATGACATCTAGGAATTAGAAGCATAGAAGAGTGATTACTGGTTAGAATTGTACCTCTTACTAATTATATTCTGTATGCTGTTAGACTTATAGATCCCGATATATATCATTAAGGATCTTAAAAATAAATCCAAAATTTAAATTTTCTCTAGTGTGTGACAACCACCAGTTTTGAACATTGAAGAATAATTGAAACAAAACCTCTTACTCCCTCATTTTTATATGTCTTATTTTTAAATTGGTATTCAAAAAAAGGAAAAAAAAAAAAAAAGAAATCCTCCTTATCACATCAATTTTCAGATTTAGGAGTTGTTCAGTTTATTGTTAGTGAAGCCTAAACCTACAAGAGAGGGGTGTGATATGTGTGATGTTGGGGCTTTTTCTTACTAAAGATAGGTGACCTTTGCGCATTAGTCTTGTGATTGGAGGTCTGTTGCTTATCATAAATTTCTTCTCTCTCTCTTTTTTATTTTTTACATTTTTTTTAGGAAAAATTGATAGAAATAATCCCAAATTGCTCGATTCGCTCAAAATAATCCCAACTTTTGATTATTTTTTAATAATCCGAACTTTAATATGAGTTTGCTTCTAACGGTCCCAAATGGTCATAAAACTTGTTATAACAAGTCACTTGACACGTGTGAAGATGTGATTGGTCAAAAAAAATAAATTAAAAATTTAAAAAATTAACTAAAAAGTTAAAAAAAAAAATTGAAAAAACTTCAAAAGAATTTTTTAAAAATTAAAAAAAAAACTCCACCAGCGGCCCAGCAACCGTAGCCACCAGCGGCTGACCCTAATCTTGGCTGCGGGCGCCTGAGCCATTCCCCGGTAGGCGCTGACGCAAACAACCCCTCCCTCGCCGGCGAAGCCCACCTTACCCCTTTCCCCTTTCCCCTTCCCACGAACAAACTCTACTCCCCAAATCCCCACCCCGACGTGCCGCCCTCTTCCCATTTCCCCCTCCCCAATCCACCGCATGAACGCCCCTCCTTCCCCGTAACAACTTTCGTCCCCTGTTCGCCGGCCCCCAAAACCCTAATTTCAACTCAAAACTACCCTAGAAAACCCAACGGGAAGCCTACCTTAAACAACCCATAAAATCAAACCTGAAGGGGAGAGGAGTGCGGTGAGCTTCGCCAGCGGGGGAGGCCGTTAGAGGTGGGGGTCATGCTGAGGGCGGCGGTTGTTGCATTGGTGTTTTTTTTTTTTTTTAAATTTTTTTTTAAGTTAATTAATTAAATAATTAAATCAATAATATAAATTAAAATTAAAATTAAACTTATATTTGACCAATCATGTGATGACACGTGTACATTAATTTTTTTTTTTAAAAAAAAAATACCTATTCAAACTATTCACCAGGAAAGCAAATTCATATTAAAGTTCGGATTATTAAAAAATAATCAAAAGTTGGGATAATTTTGGGCGAATCGAACAAAGTTGGGATTATTCCCGTCAATTTTTCCTTTTTATTATTCTTTTTTGAGAAGAAAAGGAAGGGAAATTACATTGATTTTATATGATAAGTGAGAGGACCATGACTGATTGAAGGCAAAAGGGGTTGGGTAGGTGAGATGCCCAAGTAGAAGGGTTTTGCTTCAAACTTTTATACTAATTTGAGCTCTACCTTTTTTTCTTTTTGATTTTGTATGCTTGATTCTTTATATCTTGGAGAAAAGACAAGGGGGCGTTTGGAAACAATAAAGGGAAAGACATAAGAAAGGGAAAGAAGGAGAAAGGAAAGCAAAACCCTCCTTTCTCGTAGGTTGTTTATATTTAAAACAGAAATGGAAACCATATAACCAACATCATCCATCCCTTTCATCTACTGCAACCACCACCAATCCTCCCCTCCACCGCCATTGCCACTCCCCTCTAATGCCACTGTCGCCACTTCTTCTCCTTTTCTCCTTTATCCTATATTCTTTCTTAGATCTACTTAATTTTTTTCTTGGGGTGAGATTTCTTAATGTGTAAGGTTGGTTTAGGGTAAGTGGTGTGATTTTCAAATGGTTAAAAGCTGTTTTGGTGTTAGTGGGGTGGTTTTTTTTGTGGATAGGTTATTTTAGAGGTGGTTGGGGTGAAATTTAGGGGGTTGGGTGGTGTTTTTCTGGTCGTTTGGGTATGTTTACATTGTGGGGTGGGAGGGTGGGGTAGTTATGGTGATGGTGGGTTTTGGAGGTAATTAGAAGGTGGACTAGGTGTTTTCTAAGGTGGGTGGGTATTTTTGAAGTTCGGGGTAGGTTTTTATGGTGGGTGAGTGGTTTGGAGGGCTTTTGATGGGGTGGCACTGGTGGTTAGGCCGGTTTGTCGGTGATTGGGTTTAGCAAATCTAGGCATTAGGAAAATGGGACAGGTGGTGATATGGTGTAGTGGGTGTTCAAATTTGTAATTAAGGTGGTTGGGTGTAGAAGAGTTAAGGGATTAGGATGATTAATTTGGGGTTTTAAGAGGGGGGGGGGAATCATAGTAGAGGAAAGTGGGTGAATGAGAGGGGTAAAGGTAATGATAAGGTGGTTGGGTGTAGAAGAGTTAAGGGATTAGGATGATTAATTTGGGGTTTTAAGAGGAGGGGGGGGGGGGGGAATCATAGTAGAGGAAAGTGGGTGAATGAGAGGGGTAAAGGTAATGATAATATTGGTCAAAAGGAAGGGAATCAAGGTAGTTATTGCCTTTCCCTTTCTTTAGGACCATATGATACTACTGTTCGTTTTAAAAAATTTATTCAATGCCTTGTGTTTATTACAATTTTTCATTATTAGATGTTTGCAATTTGGTGAAAGTGAATAAGAGTGATGTATGAACTTTTTCTTTTTTAATTTCATCAGAAAAAATCCGACGAGATTCTCAAAAATTGCTTTAATTTTTAATTTACTGCAGAAAAGAATGTTATTATAATACGTGTGTCTGTTCCTAATTCTTGTGTCTTATGATACTGGAAGTGATTTGATGTAGTTTTGTGTTTGGTTTCCTTTCTTTTTGATAACTTAAAGCTCTTCAATGTTATTTTTTCTTTGGTTTTGTTTCACTCTTTTTTGGCGGCAGGGATGAGTATTATGCCTGGGGATTGCACCAGATCGGCAAAGCAGTGAGCTTTTTGAATAATGATTGTAAGCTTGTAAGATTTCTCTTCTTGGCTTACAGCTTTAATAAAATTTGATGATTAACAAGTTTTATTGTTATTGTTATTTGTTTAATCTATAATCTTACTATTTGGGTGACTTGGAAATCATATGGTGGTTGAAAGACATTACTTCCTTTTTCCGTTGTATTTTATCTAATTTTAATCTGTGTGAGTGTTGCTAATCTTCCTTTAAGATGGCTCTATTTTATTAGCCTAGATATTTGTTTTTGTATGATTTTTTTTTTTTTTTTTTTTTTTTTTTTTTGTGCGGCTGGATAAACTTTGTATCTATTGGTCTAAAGTGCTCACCTTTAATTTTAAATATTTTCAGACGGTTTAAAATAATTTAAAAATGTTAAGATGTTGAAAATGAACTTTGAACAAATTTGGCAAGATTCCACATGATTATGCTTTATGTAATAGTATAAAATTGCGGTTTTAGTTATTGACGTTTGACCATATAAGAAGTGGAATATTCAAAGGAATACAGAGGGTGTAACTTGAGCTCTATTGCACTTTCATTTCTGCCCCATGTTTGTTGGGGATATGAACCAAAATTCATCATTTCTTTCACAATTAGTTCATTGTTTTCAGTATATAAGTTTGAATGTGTTTATGTCTTTGCACTCTAGTCGCTGGCAATTTGATTTATTGTCCTAATACTTTTTCTGAAACAGATTCATGCTAATGTTTGCTTGGGGAGTGTGGTGGTTACTCAAACATTGGACTGGAAGTTACATGCTTTTGATGTCTTATCTGAGTTTGATGGAAACAAGGAAGGTTCTACGGGGTCAATGCTGGTAATATTTTTCAGTACTTAATTGCTCTTTATGCACACTACTTTCTTTTTTTTTTTTTTTTTTATTTTTTTATTTTCTATTTTTGGGATTTGATTCCTTGCATACATCAAAGAATATTATAAGTTATGTAGCACTATAATGGAGCTACTGTTTAAGGGAAACTTTGAGATCATAGAAGGTTTGTGCATTCAAAGTACTTGTAGCTAAGTTCCTCACATCACCTGCTAGCATAGTAATAGTCCTTGTATACATCAAAGTATGTTATGTGTTTGTTTTTGAAAGACAAAAAATGTTGTGTGTTAAGTAGCACTAAATTTGAGCAAATGTTATGTGTTAAGTAGCACTAAATTTGAGCTACTAAGGGAAATTTCGAGATTATCAAAGGTTTGTGCATTCAAAGTACTTGTAGCTAAATTCCTCACATCACCTGCTAGCATAATAGCCCCTACTGAATATGTACTTCTATTTTAGATCACAAGAGGAATGCACAAAGCCACAAATAAAAAGATGAAACATTTTCTTGAAGAGAAAGGCTACTGCAGTGTAAATATTTCATAAAGGGAACTATTTGTTGAATAATTATTACAAGAAGAAGCTGACTTTGTAAGAAACTAGATTCTTGAAGCAGTGTTTGAACATTATTATAAGCGTGTTAAGACTGGTGTGAATCAAGGAGAAGTCGCTCATTGATGCTGTTAGCAATTGATGAATTTAAAGAGATGCATTATTATTGAATCCTTTTAGAGAAATTTCCCATCTTTTGCTATGTTTTTAACTTTAACTGCTGGAGAACAGATAAGTATATGTGGTTGTGTTTCTAAATAATTTTTATTTTTTTTATCTTTTGTATGATTATTATTTTGGACAAGAGCTAGAGGCAAATCAATGGGACTGGGACCTGGTTAGGGGGATTGAAGTTGAAGAATGTGCTATGAATTGATAATAAGGGAGGGGTATTAGGGAGTCAGGTTATAATAAAGTTGTTAGTAGCTTGAAGGAGAAATTAGATTGCTTGTTAGGGAAAAGCTCTACAAATAGAGCTAATTAGAGAGAGATAATCATGTTGAATATTGTGATGAGTGATAATTTGTAGTTTTGGGAGAGTGTCATTTCTATTGAAAGATTGGTGAGGCTGTAATTGTGATAGTCACCTTAATTAGCGTTAATTTAGTCATATCTTTACTTGATCTTCCTTAATATCTCTTTTCAGTCTGTAATATCTTCGTTTTGGTCACTAATCTGAGCTAATTTATAGCAGAATGACGAGGCATATAAAATCAAACTCTTTTGTGTGTGCGTGTGGGGGCAACTGCAGTTACTGTATTTTGACAAACTCATAATTTTTCATATTATTTGGGGTATCTTTTTCTGATTTTATCTGCAGATTGTTTTGTTTTGTTTGGTTTTCTGAAGGCCCTCATATTACTTGAGAGTAATATCATATTGAATAAAACCGTGATTACTGATTTTTTGCTCCTTCTGTATGCAGCAATATGCATGGCTTGTTGGCACACAATACAAGCCAATGGAATTGGTCAAGTCTGACTGGGTAGCTATTAGAAACTCTCCCCCGTGGGCAATTGATTCCTGGGGAATGGGTAAGTACCATCCTCTTATTTAGCCGCTTATCTGTTCTGTGGAATTTATGTCTGAGTATTAGACCATGATACACAGCTGGAGAGAGAGGACTGTTCTATATTAAAAGAAGAAACTTGTTATTTTAAAATTAAAGAAGGTTAGAGGTTTTGTATTGGTGACCCAAGAGAGTATACAAGGCTTTTTATTCTCAATCAATCTATCTATCAATCAATCAATCTATCTATCAATCAGTTAATCAATGCCTTAATCCCATAAGTGGGGTCGGCTACATGAACCAAAAGTGATTATTCCGTATAGTCATCCACAAAAATTAAAAAGTGATCAATCCCATTAGGCTTTTTATTCTCAAATGACAGGAAAAAAAAAAGGGTTGAAAAGGCAACCAGGTGGCCAAATCCTTTTGAGTTCCTCTGGAATATATGGCATATGGGTACTTAGAAATCAAATTTTTGATGGAAACTCAAAACCTTACCAGCAATATTTCGTTCCAACATTCAAAGCCTACCTTTTTTTCTATAGGAGTATCAATCAGTATCAGGGTAATAAAAGACAATATGATAGCATTCATATTTCATAGCACCTTGACTACTAATATCATTTGAACTAAATGCATGCAATGCGTGCTTCAAATTACACTTAAATAAAGTACTACTTCATTCCAAATTAGCTGACATGTTTTGAATTTGATACTATTCTTAAACTTTACTTTGACAACATTTGTGAATTATACATATGAATAAATGGTCATGTGGGATCTTGTTATATCCGTTTCAATTTATACTTAATTAAAATTCAATTTATAGTATTAATATAATTAAAGATTTTTTTGATTGAATTTATGCGTTGGCAAATGTGATAAAAGAAATGTGTCAACTAATTTGGAATGGAGGAAGTATGTAATAAGGGTCGATAAAAAGTTAGTGCGTTTTAGATATTTTAGATGGACATTAAACTCCTCATGAGTTAGCTATTTTAGTTATAAGCCTTATCAATACTGAAGCAAATAAAATGACTCACTGGATAGAATGGAACACATGTAAATACTGAAAAGATTGTTTACATATTTAAGCCTCCAAACTGACAAAATCCAATATAAATTACATGGAGTGCAAAGCACTTAAATTAATTATGGAACTGAAATTAATTATGGAACTGAAAGGGGTTTCTGTGGAAAATTATTGAAAAATACCTCAAACAAGCAAGCTTAGCGAGAAAGCCAATATTTTGTGTTTGTGTAAGAGTCATAACTCATATTTTGATGTGCTACCACAAAAACAAAACCATAGAATTGTTCCCAAAAGGAATTTGATGTGCTGACATTTTAGTTGGAGCTACAATGTCATGTGTCATCTGTTTTGGTGCAAGTTAGTTAACAAAACCATAGAATTGTTCCCAAAAGGAATTTGATGTGCATGGGATTGGTAGATATTCTGATTACATTATCTTCTATAATTTGAGGTTTTTGAAGTATGGAATTGGTAGACATTGTGTATGCCCCTTTTATGTATATTTAACCCATCTAATTATGTTGCAGCATTGATTCATCTAGGGGTTAGATTTCAAATGAGGTGTCTTCAAGGGAAGACAAGTGATGTAGACAAGCTAGTGAATTGTAAATTAGGGGCTTATGTGTGGTGTTTCAGATTGTTATGCCTGTAGTCTTTTTATTATTTGTCCTTAATGCTTTTTTTAATTTTTTTCCTGGTTTTGATATGGGTTTTATGCTCTTTATTATAAATTTATATGTATATCTAAAAGTATGAATTGTAACTTTCAGGTTGTCTGATATATGAGATCTTTTCGGGTACAAGGCTGAGCAAGACAGAAGAACTCCGAAATACTTCTTCAATTCCAAAGGTTGAACTTTTTATTTTTGTGAAATATTGTTAATAAATAACTAATAACAATATTATTTTTTTAAATTTTAAATTAATTTTTTTTTATTCCTTTAGCACAATTTTATTCTGAATGTGTTGTATTTGTTGTATTTGGCTAGTCTTGATGTCTTCAAACTGATGACAAATACTTTTATGTGTGTGATTTCCTATTCTTTCAGTTGTTGCTTCCAGATTATCAGAGGCTATTGAGTTCCATGCCTTCCAAGAGATTAAACACTTCCAAGCTTATAGAAAATAGTGGTAAGTCCTGCAATTTTCTATTTTTGGTTTTGTGACTTGTATCATATCATTGGAATCTTTAGTATGGTATATGCTTGAGGCTAGAAGTTCAATTCGTTGTCAGTTTGCCTTTGAAGGTTTAGGTCTTTGTTTAAAGAACAATATAATTATATGCTGTTATGATGTGTTTACTATGTAGTTTTCTTTTTTTCTTAGGCTTTTCTTGTGAGGTAGCCATTTTCTGTTATAGCATATTTATAGTATTTGCCCCATCTTTCAGAATACTTTCAAAATAAGCTGGTGGATACAATACATTTCATGGAGGTTCTCAGTTTAAAGGACAGTGTGGAGAAAGATACATTTTTTCGCAAGCTTCCAACACTGTCTGATCAACTTCCTCGCCAAATTGTGCTGAAGAAAGTACTACTCTTGTCTGAACTTTAGTTAACTCTAATTATCTCCCTCGACTTTTACATGTTTTTATAAATGCTGCCTTTTCTATTATTTCTCTAATTACTGGTTTTACATTTTCTTAGATACTTCCACTACTAGCTTCTGCTCTAGAATTTGGCTCAGCAGGTGCTCTTGCTTTGACAGCATTGATGAAGATGAGCTCTTGGCTTCCACCTGAAGAATTTAGTATCAAGGTCATGATCTTTCTGGTCCTTATTTGTGCGAGGGATAACAGATCTTTTATCCGCATATGCAATTCCTGACCAATCTTTGGCATGAATTGTAGTCCTGTATATGAGCTTATATGCTGTTTATTGATATGTTTGCCACTTTGCTTTCTTTTTAGGTGCTGCCAACCATTGTGAAGCTCTTTTCATCCAATGATCGAGCTATAAGAGTTGGATTGCTTCAGCATATTGAGCAATATGGAGAGTCATTATCTGCACAAATTGTTGATGAACAAGTATGATAGTGATCACAGCATACTTACTATGTCCTTTTTAACAGTGATATGCTTCCCTTTGTCAGATTAAGCTATCTATGCTTTTTGCCACTTGATATAATAATATTCTTTCATTCTTTATCTCTCTTGTACTAAATTTTGTGTTGTTATTTGTGATTAGGTATATCCTTATGTTGCTACTGGATTCAGTGACACATCAGCTTTTCTTCGAGAGTTGACATTGAAATCAATACTTGTTCTAGCACCAAAGGTATTAGTAATTACCAGTTTTTTCTGTCTGATTTTGAATGATACTCTCATTTTATGTCTCATTTTAGGAATAAGATTTGTGTTGCTATTTAGTTCATTAGCTGTTTGTATATTGTGCTCATAGTTGAATGATTATTAGTTTATCTTACCTTTTGTCTTACATTGTTTATTGACTTCATCATGTGATGCCTGATAGATTTAGGACTGTAGAATGACTAGATGACTGAAACAACCAGTATTCCTTACCTTTATGTGCTTTTCTAGTACTGTTAATTTGTGGGAAAGGTTCAGCGTTTTCAGAATTTGTTATCTTCTTTTATTTAAGAAACACTGTCAGAGAAAGTGGCAGATGACATCATACTCTAGAGCTTAGTTTTCGATAGATGGGAGGTGGTTTTGAGTGTTGGCGATGGCTTTTCAGGTTGGGTGGTGGTCTTCAGTTGGTGGCTTATTGTTTTAGAGGTTGAATGGGTAGTTGGGTTGGTGTTTGGTGGTGGGTAGAGAATGGGTTGGTTAATAAGAAGGGTAGGTTAGTAAATTTAAATATTTAAGTTAAGTGTTAGCCATAAAGCATCAATAGGGGCACACTAATTAATTATGCACGAGGCTTCCATATATAGTTTTCTTTATTTTTCTTAGGGGGTGTTTGGTTGGGCCTTTTGGAATGGATTGTAATGGAGTAGATTCCAATCCAATGTTTGGTTGAACATTTTTTGCCATGGAGTCTCATACTAATGGTATCTAACTCCATTTTAATCCCCTATAATCTCATACCCACCTCCACCCCTAAGATTCTAAATCCCATTCCACCTTAAATACAAACTCTAACTAGATACAAATCCATTCCAATTCAACACCAAATAAGTTTAGCAAAGTATGGGGTTCTCAATCCATACCACCATGGTATGGGTTCCCAATCCATCCAATTTGTTGAACCAATCGACCCCTTAATTTATTTTATTTTTCAAATTATGTGCATAATGTAGCCTTTCATGTTGCAAAGCTTGTTTTATGGTAATTAAATGCTCCACTGTCCCAGAATACTATACTCGTTTCTTTTGGAAGTAACATGGTAGTGTATCATTAAAAACTAAGTAAAGTGGCCGCACCTAGAATCTTTTGATCATCATTATCTTTTAATTATTTATTAACAAAAATATAAAAAATTATGTTATGAAAATATACAATGAAATTAATCCACCTTTGTAGCAACAATTTTATTTTATTTATGAATTAGTAAAAAAATATTGTTGAACTATGTGTATGAATAGCGTAAAAAGTCAAAATGGATAAGGTATTGAGAGACAAAGGGAGTACCACCGAAAATCATAATATGATTTATATATTTTGTAAATAGTGCGTGCCTCATGTACAATAGGCTTGCACCTTTGCCTTGCGCCTAGGCTCCAAGTACCTTTTGCTCTTCAATCCTTCTAAAATTAAGCTCTGGAGACTTCACAAGGTCCTGATGCAACGCAAAATAATAATCATAAATAAATGATTTACAAAATTTTTTCAGCAGCTGAATTTGCACACTGCGTAGTATCGCTCACAAAGCTGAGACAGGGAGGAACCTCCTCTAAGATAATTCATTAGGAAATTTAGAGCTTGCAATTGCAGAATTGCAGCAGACAGAGTTATTGATCATTGTAGAATTCTTAACGTATCTTGAGTTAATCTCTGGCATTCCCTAGAATTGGAGTTTTATCCCACAAATTATTAAACAGAAGCGTAGAATAGGAAGCCAGCAAGCTGCTCTTTGCAGACTTACCTTTTATGCTGGTAGACTGGCAGTTGATCTTTCTGGTTCTTGATTTACACAAGGAAGCACTTTCCTATCTCCCATGTGCTCCAAAATTTGAGTGTCTACCCCATTTATTTAATGAATCATATTTTGTTAATATTCATTGAACAGTGTTAGTTATTCATTGAACTCCAAAGCCTCTGTTTGACAACTTGTATACTGTTGGGAATTTACTTTGAACTTACCTAGTCAGTTGCATCTGTTTCTAGGAGGCAGGATTTACCCATTACCATTTTTATCTACACAACTCTTGTTATGAAAGGGACAAGTTCTAAGCAAGCATTTTACTATTGAGAAAATTGCTTGTCCTCTAAACACTGGAGCATGAGCTCAATTGATAGAAGCCTCCTAGGTTTATCACCCTTTAGCCTTTTTGATTGCCTATGCAGTGGTTATGCTGCCTTATAATCCATTTTCTAAAGCATTACTGTAGCTGTAAAAGTCTTCACATGGTTATATTCTTGGCTAGCATTTTTTTAAAGATTTGAGTGATAGGAGTTTTGTTGGTGAATATTATATCTTTGCAAAAGTTTGTAGAGGAAGCCAAAATTGCGAGTTTATTATGAAATTCATACTGTATATGACATTATTTTGATAAATTTCAGCTTTCACAACGGACAATGTCGGGATCATTGCTGAAGTATCTTTCGAAGCTGCAGGTATTATTTGTTCACATGCCAATAGAAATTAATCCCTCCTTTTATGTTTGTCCCATTTGGAATGCTTTATTGGAACAGAGTAATAGTGACCATGATTATTCATTGATATACTACCTCCGTTTCATATTATTTGTAACGATTTGACATAAAGTAGAGAGGAAAAATGTCTAATCGTTGCAAATAATATGAAACGGAGGTAGTATAAGACAAAACATATTCATGGGAGTTTGTTAGATTAATATTGATTTTTGTTTAGTTAATTATACTTTATTAAAGATATTCTTGCTTGTGGATATGCATTAATAATTGCAAAAAAGAGAAATGGGATAAACATCAAGGAACAGAGGGAATACACTATGTTGGTCTTAATCTATTTTGTTGCACGTTTGGCTCATTTGGTGGAAGGTTACTTATGATGGTATTTAATTTATATGTAACTTTGTAAAGTTAGCGCCATGCCCATGTCTATGGTAATGGAACTCAATCCCCAAGAATGTATTTTTCTTCTCAAGTTTCTTTTCAAAAAATCACCTTTAGACGTGTAGGAGAATTATTTTGAAGTGATGTTTGAGGGTGAACAAGCATTATCGTGGACATTGGCTTGAGGCTCTCCTTACAGAATTAAACTATAAATGCAATACCATCACCACCAATTAGACACTTGACCTTGTTTAAATGACTTTGGTCGGGTACTAGATGAGTTCCATAACTTAATAGGACTTCCTAAATCATTGTCTGATTTTTATGCTTATAAGTTTTTCAGGTTGATGAAGAGCCAGCAATTAGAACAAATACCACCATATTACTGGGAAATATAGCAAACTATCTCAATGAAGGGGTAAGCATTTAGGCTTTTGGTCTTTTGCTTCTTTCTTGTTCTCTCCTTGCCTTCTCAATGTATTCATGTGTTTCTGGGTAGATGTTGGAGCTGGAGTAAGACTGTTTCTGTATTTTATTCATTTTCAAGTTTTTATTCGGTTTAATATATGAAATCAATTAATTGGGACTTACTTCCAGTCTGGTTCTGGTTGATTATGTTGCCTTTGGTTTGCAAATCCATTAGCTGTGATTTTCTTCTTAGATTTTTCTTCAACATACAAAGCGCAACTCTTTTCAATTTTACTAAATGAGTATTTTTTGTGGGTAAATTATTATTTAGTTTCTAACTTTTTTGTTTTTATGTTTGAAGACAAGAAAGAGGGTTCTCATAAATGCTTTTACAGTTCGTGCATTACGCGATACATTCCCTCCAGCAAGAGGAGCAGGTATTGCAGTCAGTAGTTTTCCACCAAGTTGAACTCTGTACCCTTTGGTTTTTGTTGTTTTATGTAACTAATAAGAACATGTTTTTTCTATTCTTTGTTTTGACAGGAATTATGGCCTTATGTGCCACGAGTTCCTATTATGATATCTCAGAGATTGCAACAAGAATTCTACCAAATGTAGTAGTGCTTACTATAGATCCTGACAGGTCCTCTTTCTATACTTATTAATCTGTTCTTACAGCAATATTCCTTGTGTTGCAGGGTTTGGGAAATTGGGACTCCTAAAGTCCTAATGCAATGTATGTCTAGCAATTGTGACAATTATCTTAATTTTTAGGCACTTCATGCCCTTTTTTGGGTCTTTCATGGATAAGATTAGCCCCATTAGCCTAGCAGTGCCAGATGTTGCTTGCAGTCTATGTAGCTTCAAGTTTCATGTATGCTCCACTTGATTTGCTAATGTACTAGAGAAGAAAAGCCTCCAAGTGATGATGAACATATAACATTTTGATAAATTGTTAGTAGAAATTTCTTTGCAATTAACATATAGAAAACAATCATACATGTGTGTATTCAACTTTCACAGTAGTTTGTTGGTTGTGCTTTATTTATTTATTTATTTATTATGTTTAGTCACTCCAGTAATTGCATTTTAAAATTCACGGCCAATTTGCGTTGTTTCTTGACTTCATGGATTGTTTTTAACTTTGCCATGCTGACTGACTTTCTTTTTTCACCTAGTGATGTGCGAACCAAGTCCTTTCAGGCAGTCGATCAATTTTTAAAGATTGTGAAGCAGTATAATGAAAAGGTATCTGTTAAGTTTCTAATTTACTCATTTTTGGAATGTTTATGTACATTTGGATCCTCAGTTTGTAAAGTACTAAGAAGATTATGTAAACATTGGCTGGGAACCAAACCTAATACTCCCTCTGTGTTTTAATAAGTGTTACACTTTAAGGCAATATAATTGACTTAAATAAAATAAGAGGTAAGTGGGGTAGTTGGAGTATTAAAAAATTGTAAAAGAAAGATAGTGGGGTTAATAGTTTATTGAAAAGTAATGACTATGAGAGGAAAGAAATAATAAAATAGTAGTAGTGGGTTTGGGTGGGGACCATGAGAAAAGAGAGATTATATTTAAATGTAGTTTTTTGCCAAAAAAGGAAGTAACACTTATTAAAATACGGCCGCATTTAGTAAGTGTAACACTTATTAAACCACGGAGGGAGTACGCTATATGCATCCTGTTTTTTTTTTTTTTTTTATCTTTTTTTTCTTTTGGATAATCCATGTTAAGTGTCTGATCATGTTATTGTAGGGTTTTTGGTGAATGTCACATATAGGCATTCGACCAATTTTTTTTAGGTTATGTTAACCATTTGTTATCTATTTTATCGACAGGGTGATACAGGAGATTTAAGCATGGCAAACATTGGAACTAACGGAAACTCTAGCTTGCTTGGGTGAGTAATATCATATGCTACTCTATTTCTTTTAATTTGTAAAACTAATGCATGGCCCTAACGATGCTTCAGGTTGCTACTTTGAATGTCATATTATATTTATTACACTTTTATTTTTGTTTTTGTTTTTGGTGTTTTTTTGTTTTATTTTCACTATTGTAAAAAACTTTATATTTCAACTTGGTTGTGTTTCTGTTGTACTTTTTGAGTAACTTTAATCTTTATTCTTTTTAACTGTCTAATAACTTGTGTATTTTGGTTCAAAGATGTAGAAATATATATGAATATTTGATTAATAAGATGTTATTCTATTACATATGAAAAATAAATACATAATTGTTCAAAATCATGTTTCTAGTTTTATTCTGTAACAATATTTATAGTCTTGTAATCGTCTCTTAATACAATCCAGCAATATTTTTTTTTCTTTCCTGAAAACATTCAGCAATATCATTAAACATACTTCCTCAGTTCCCCTAATATTGCAACATGGGTTGGGACATGGATTTTAAGAAGAGGAGAGAGATAGAGAGGAATCAAGATTTGGACCCATGTGATGAGGAAAGAGAAGGAGAGAAAACATGTGCAAATAGGGAAATGTTATAATATTAGTGAAACTTCCTAAAATGGTAATTGTTGCAATACTTATGGAACGGAGGAAGTACAAAAAAAATTAATGCAATCAAACAATCACCCGACCTATGTTTGCTGATTTTATATTTATAGTGTATTCAAAATACATTTAAAAAAAGATTATTGTTGTATACAATGTACATTCTATTTCCCAGAAAATGAATATTACAGTTGCTGGGATATAATAATGTCAAGGATGATATTATTTTGTCATTTGTACACACCTTTATCTCTGTACTTTCTACTATTGGTATGTTCATTAATATACCTCTGCAGATCTTCATGCTTGAGCTGCATTTTTCTTCTTGGCTGCTAATTTATTGGATAAACTCTTAGATATATGTTTGCAATGGAGTTTTTCATTCCTGTGTTCTTATTTGAATTTAGGTTCTGTTTGCTATCAGTTTTTTGTTTTTCTGATCATCAAAATTTTTGTGCTGGGTTTCCTTTTTCTCATTCCTTTTCTTTCTTTGGTGTTGGGTTCTAATTCCTTACCGTATTCTGTAGCTACTCACTATTTCTATGTAATTTCTCTAAAATATGTAGTAATGACAAATGTATGGTGCAGATGGGCTATGAGCAACTTGACTTTGAAAGGGAAAACTTCCGAGCAGGCACCACTTGCCTCTGGGGGTTCTAGTGCACCACTTGCTGCAACTAGCTCTGATGCCAATTCAGGTGTGTCTATTGTCCTTCCTGAAGCTCAATTTCTGCTCCAAAATATCATCTTTGGCTAATGATAAATTGCTAGTGGGCTCGGTTTCACTTTTAGTCTTGTCTGTGTTCATTTTACTTCGTAATCTGATCGGAATCCGGTTAAAAGCAGATTGGGTTTCAACTCCTCCGAGTTCTTTTTGCTGGGTTTTATAGTACGATATGCCAGGTTTAGAAATCACAGGGTGAGAGCACATATCATGTGTTTTGTGCAAGCATTTGTTGATTTATCGTGCAGAAATGTTGTCGGTCTATGCTAGGTTTAGAAAGGATACCATAAGAGCATGTGATGTCAGTTGCTGAACATTTGAATTCCTTTTCGTTAGTTTCCATGAGGGGTGGGTGAGAAAACCATTGTTCTAGAGAATAAGCTGGAATGAACTTTTAGATGAATCTATAAATTTTAACATGTGTTTTAGCTGCTTGTTTTGGGGTTCTGGCTCTGCTTTTTGTAAATTTCAATTCTCTGTATGATATATCTGTCCCAATCTATCTTTTTTATTAGTAAAGGCCCAATATATTGGTTATGCCCTATACACGTGTTGTATAATATGGGATATCAAGTAAAACTTAATCACATCAAATGTGATAGACTGATAGTGGCAGTATTTTGTATAGTTATTGACCTGTGGTTATATAGATAATCTGCTTCCAGCAAAGTTATCTCACTTTGTTAATGTTTCAGTTGTGGATGCTGTTGCTACTAGTGCAATAATGTCACCTCTTCGCACAAGTTCCAGTGCGGATTTAGTTGATCATCCTGTCCCAGCTTCCCCAACCTCAACGGATGGCTGGGAGGAAACTGAGAATGGGCTTGATGAGCATGATAGTGACAAAGACGGGTGGAATGATTTTGAATCGCTTGATGAACCAAAGCCATCTCCAGTCCTTGCAAACATCCAGGCTGCTCAAAAAAGGCCAGTTGCACAGTCTAAGCCTGCATTGTCTCAACCAAAACCAGCAGGTAGTTCACCCTATACGTGTCTTGACCGTGTAAATATGCATATTGACCAAGTAACAGAAAAGGCTTACTGTTGCTTAAAAATTCTTGCTTAGCTTGTTGGATAGCCTGTTGTTGCCCATTTATGTGTCAAAACTCTAAATTCCTATTGCTTCAAAAATTAAAAATCAGTCAAATTATTTTAAAATTATGGTTTCTTCTTAAACTTGTAGCTGTAATGCTTCATAAATTGTTGTATACAGCACTCTAGACTCTGTAGTATATAAGGAACATTGAATTCAAGCCCACTCTTTGAGGGTTTATCTTAATTGGGATATTACTTACTACGTATCTGTATATACGAAGTAATAAGATGGAATAATCTGCGTTTGAAAATAAAAATAATTCACAATTGACAATTGATGTAAACAAACTTCTGCTAATCTGCTATATATTAGTATTTTCAAGATTCCAGTGTGAGCCTGTGCAATTGACTCGCATGTCATTGTATAAGTTTGTATCCTCTATTCTGTTGTGTACTGTCTGGCTGTTTTTATATTATTGCTTAAAAATTCAACCAAAGTGAAAATGCATAGAGTACCTCAATGTGAAAAAAGCAATGGAGAAAAAGATGTTAGTGTCATAGATCCCTGATTTTATCAAAACCGGTTATTTTTTTATTTTGATCAGTTTTGATAGATTAGTAACTAATAGATGTTTTTCTTTTTCAGCTTCAGGTATGCATTCAAAAAGCGCTGTGCGAAAAAACAAAGATGACGATGAGTTGTGGGGTGAGATAGCTGCCCCTCCTCCCAAGGCCACTTCAAAGTCATTGAATTTGGGAGCTTCAACGACAAACGATGATGACTTGTGGGGTGCTATAGCTGCTCCACCTCCCATGACAAAAGCCAAGCCCCTTTCTTTAGGCAGAGGTCGAGGAGCAAAACCTGCTGCTCCAAAATTAGGAGCCCAAAGGATTAACCGGACATCATCTGGGGTGTAAATATGATAAATGAAACTGTAAGCTTAAGTCAAAACTTAGATGTGAGAAAATTGTTAAGGTCAGTTTTGTATAATCCCATTCTTTTTACTGATTTAATATATAGTATACCAGTGTCTACTGAAAATGTATTTTTGGGCCTTCAATGATACCTTCAGTTTGTTATATTCGAAGTAATTTTTTTTTTTTCCTTCTAATATTTGCTTGCTGGATAAATACATAGTTTTCTGTACGGACAGGATCGTAATTGTGGACAATGTGAAGCTTCTCTGAAGTATATCTATTGAAATTAATTTTGGGTTTTATACTTTTATGCATTCCATTGGTTCTTTGTCTTGGGTTCTACATCAACTTTAGCATTACTATGTAAAGGAACACTTGCTACTAGACCTGGTAAAAGGGTCATTCGGGCCAGGTACAGGTCGGGTCAATTTCGGGTCAACGAATGATCGAGTCGGGTTTAGGTCACTCAATTCTGGTTAAAATACGGTTGGGTCACTTCGAGTATCGGGTCTGTTTGTGTCCATCAATTAATATTAAAATCAAGTTGGGTACAGTCAGGCCGGGTTACTTCGGGTATCGAGTTATGTTCGGGTTAACTTCACTTCGGGTCAATGAGTTTGGATCAATTTTCAGATCAGGATTGCCAGGTCTAAAGTAGTTGTTTCTTTTCGTTTTTCCTTTTTCTTCTTTCGATTTATTTATTTATGTTAAATGCCTAATGTAGTATCAGTGTATAGGCCCAATGTACTTTGCAAAAATAAGATGATGTTAAGTAATAAGTCTTAGCTGCATCACACATCCACATCCTATAAAATAATGAACATTTTGTAAAAAAATATGAACACGTAAAAAAAATAGGATGATGATAAGCAATAAGTCTTAGCTGCATCCTAGTGCAGCTAAGATAGCAGCACCACACGTCCACACCCTATAAAATAATGAACATTTTGTAAAAAAATATGAACACGTAAAAAAAATAAAATAAATGAACATTCAGTAATATAAAATGAGCACATAAAAAAAAATGAACATTTAGTACTAAAAAGTGAAGATGTTAAAAAATATGATCATTTAGTATATTAAAAATGAACATGATTATCATATATATAATCATAAAATTGAAGGACCACGACCTTAAAAATGAACCTTTAGTAAAAAATATATATATGAACACGTAAAAAAATGAATATTGAGTACGAGTAATAAAAGTGAACACATAAAAAAAAGGAACATTTAGTACATTAAAAATGAACATTTATCATAAAATAATATAATAGCTGGACCATACATAATAAATGAATATTTCAATAAAATATATGAACACATTAAAAAAAATGAACATTTAGTATAAAAAAATAAACACGAAAAAAATGAACAAGTCAAAAAAAAAAATGTTGAACATTTACTATATTCAAAATGAACATGATTTTCATATATTCATTGTATATAACTTTTAACGAAAAATAAAGATAAAAATAAACCATTAAAATATTCTTTTTATTATGAACTAAATGTTCATTTTAGTGTATTAAATGTTCAATTTTAAAATATTGCATGTTCATTTTTTTTTTTACAGAAATTATACACAAGTCCGATTGTAATTATTTTAACTCTACAAATTTGAATATCCACCTTCAATCTAATTTTAGTTCATCATAGTAACAATAATTATCGATCTATAACATGGTAGATTAGGTATCACAAATGCAAAATTGGTAGAAACCAACAATTTTATAATTAACATTCGCATATTTATTATAAAAATAAAACTCAAAATTATCTCACGATTCACAATCGCGACGAAGAAGATGATGATGGAAAATGCTACAATAGTGACGAATTGGAGAATATCCAAAGTAAAAGGACAAGGAAGTTTAAAGATTGAAGGAAAGTGAGGTAAAAAAGAAAATTAACTTTAAAAAAATAAAAAAAAAGATGAGAGAGAAAATTTCAATTGGAGATTAGATTGATTAGATTTTTTTTATTTTTTATTTTTTATTTTTTTCTTACGGGTAGATTGATTAGATTAAACTATACTTTATATTAGTTATTCTTGTGCTTAGTATCATTGAAATTTAATTAGCCAATAAAACTCTTTTTGCACTACTAGTACTAGAAATTCTATGACATAAGTATACCATAGGGAGGAATTATAATACCATTACACTATCTAGTGGTATTATTTATTCACTTAATAATTATCTTTACAGTTGCTTTCGTTCCTAAATAATTGATATAGTCAAACTTGACACACATTTCAATGCACTAGTTTGACTTTAGATATATATGATTAAATATTAGTAAAAAAAAATTATATTATTATGAAACTTAATATTAATGTCCATTAACAATATATTTCATGATACTCCCTACGTCCCAAAATAATTGACACGATCAAACTTTGCACATATGCGATGCATTAGTTTGACCATATTTTTACTTAGGTAGATATTATTGAAAATTATATAAAAAAAAAGGTGATATTATGAAACTTTATTTAATTAACTATCTAACAATATATTTTATGATAAATGCTATTATGTTAATAAAAAACTATAGTCAAAGTAAATATATGAATAGTGAAAAAAAATCCAACGTGTTATTATGGGACGGAGGGAGTAAAACGATGGTCAAAATTAATATGTAAATAGTAAAAAAAAAAAAAAAAAAGTAAAACGTATTAATTAGGAATGGTGGGAGTATCTCATAAAAATTTCATGCTTCGTACTCTACTATTTAGGAAAATACTAACTTTTATATGTGGCTGGTCATAGGGTGTGGTCAGTCATTACGGGTGTTACACGGTCAGTTTTATACTTTTATTGCAGTTACTCGATCAATATTACTAGAATTACTCTTTACTCAATTAGTATTAGGAAAAATTGGTAAAAATAATCCCAACTTTAACGTATTCGTTTTAAATAATCCCAACTTTAGATTATTTTTAAATAATCCGAACTTTAGGGTGTATTCTCTTTCTTTGGTCCCTAACCGGTTACTAACCTGTTATAATAGGTAAAGGTGACATATGTCACCATGTGATTGGTTGAAACTGATGAGTGGCATTTATGCTGCTATTTCACCCCTTTTTAGGGACCTCATTTGTTACTTGTTTGTGCTTTCTCTAGTCATTTTACCCTTATTTTGGTTATATTTGCTTTCTCTCGTGTTTTTCTTCTTCTTTTATCTCTTCTTGTGTTTTCTAATATTTTTGTCTTTGTTTTGTAGGTTTTTATTGCTTTTGGAAGAAAGAAGATGATATGTTCATTTTATGTAGTATTTTATCCCCGTCCCTTGGACATAGTTAGGAGTATTTTTGGCTCTTTAGAGTCACTTTTATTACTAATATGCGTTTTCTAGTGTTTTCGTAGTTCTGGTATTGTTTTACAGGAAATTGCAGACTTGGAGCATTTCCCCGTACTTATTTGAGCCACCGCGAGCATTGGAGCGGAAACGCATTACTATGATCACATTCCAGAGCCCAGGGCCGCGTTAGAGAAATCAACCCGGTGATTAAGGGCTCGGTGAAGAAAAGAAGAGCTCGGGCATTGGACCGTAATTCAAGACCCAAGGAGAAAATCTTATTGGGCCAAGAAAATTAGCCCAAAAGACTTGAGTAATCCTTTCGCCAGGAGCTCGCTCGATCGGGCAGGGCTTCGCCCAAAGGCGTGCCCGACCGGGCGAGGAGGGAGATAGTAAAGGGCGAGCTTCGCCCGGTCGCGCGCCCGACCGGTCGCGAGGAAAGCATTATTAGAGAGGAAAAAGGCGCGCCCGGCCGGGCGGTGCCTCGCCCGATCGGGCGCGTGTTTATAATAGGAATTTTAATTTGTTTTAGCTTTTTCTTTAATTAGTATTAGGAGTTTAGTATATATACTTTCGGTTGCTTAAATTGTATGACGTTTTTCATATACCGACGAGTACGTTTTCTCATTAGATTTAATTCCAGATTTTGCTTAAGTTTGTTCTTGATACTATTATTCTCTCTACACTTCTTGATTAATGCAATTCAACCATTCCATTTAATTTGGTAATGATTTCTTCCCTTATTATTTTTAGTAATTTAATTGCTTTGGTTAATTATGTTTTGTTAGTTTAATTATTTTGTTTAGCTTAGGTTTGATTATGAGCGAGTAGATTTATTTCTAGGGTTGTGGTGATCCATGAATAATATGAAGGGGTAATTTATTATTGTTGATTATTAATGATTGATTGATATCCTATTGATTGATTTAATGCTATGCAATTAGATTTGGCCAGGTTTAATTGTATGAGTTATGAAATATTAATTCGAGATTCGAGAGATTAGAATTGATGTTTAGGCTTAGTTTCAACAGGCATGTTAATCTATAAATGGTTAGGTCAAGATTCGAGAGATGCGATTTAATACCGGTAGATTAATTATGTGATTATAATACGTAGCGAAAGCCCTTTATAATCTGATTAATTTATGCATTTATGATTTATTGTTATGTTTTATCTTGGAGTATTATTTATTGGTGAACCTATACCCTAGACCTTTTATTATTGATTATTCCCTTATTTAATTTGCTTAGTTTAATTATTAGTATAATTCACACAATACAAATTGCTTACTTGATAATTTAGATTATAATAATTGATTAGGAGTAAAAGAACATTGCTTTCCTGTGGATTCGACCCTACTTCCCTATCTACTTTAGCTAGAGGACTTAGGAATTACTTTTGACTAGGTGATACGACTAGAACTTGTCAGAAGACAAGCTTTGTTTGCCATGGAGAAGGAGAGAAGGCACTTTGGAGAGGGCGCTCAGTAGTCCAAGCAACCGCGGGCGCGGAGCTTAACTTTGGGAAAACTTCCAATGTTCCTGTAGAACGCTGGCCGCGCCCTGAGAGAGGGTTCTCCATTAAGCATCGCGGGCGCGATCTCTCTAATGTCTGGCTCTCCCTTGTTTTTGTGACTCGACCTCTCTTAGTCGAGAGAGGCCTCTCCATCAGCCACCGTGGGCGCGACATTCCAGGTCGCAAGCGAGGTTATTTTGGTCTTCTTTTATGTACTCAGATGAAAGAGGGCACGGTGCAGCTAGAGATGGCGCGACTTAGTTCGTTATTTCCAGATTTGCACTATAAATAGAATTTTTCTTGAATTTGTGAATTATCTAATTTTCCAAATATTATTAGAACTTTGTAGTGAGAGAAACTATTGGTATTTTAGAGAGAGAAAGTTGCCTATCTTCAAGATTTATCACTGTAATCAAGATTTCTTCAATCTATTGCAAGTAATTTCATGTTTTCTTCATCAATCAAGCTTTATATTAGTAATCTCTTAACTCTTTCCTTTTGTTTTGTTTATTGCTTTTGATTGCATTGATCTTCATCTATTTTCTTGATTCTACTTGTTTGATTGATTTACTTTGATTTTGAATTATGTTTCGTTTGGTTAAGATTGAATTCATGCTTAGTGTAGTTTAATTTGATGGCTATTTTCTCTTCTCCAGCTTAGATTTCTAGCTAGGGAAGGGGGTGAAGATCATGATTAGCTTTGATAATGGTGATGATTGATTAGATATTTCTTTGAGTTGATGATGATTTTGTGCTTAAATTGCTTGGAATTATTGATGTGTACCTTGGTAGTGTAAGTTTACGAATATAAATTGTTTGATTTGATCTAGGGTAGTAGATAACGACCTATTATCTGATCATCAAATTTTTGGCGTCGTTGCCGGGGAAACGGCTAGTTCTTGACTTTTTATTGTGATATTATTCGATTTGTTGCTTTTTCTTTTGTCTATTTACTCTTTTGCTAGTCATCGCTAATTGTTTGCTTAGCTTTTGTGAATGCTAAGGAGGTCTCAAGGATCACCTACACATTACATTGATCACGAAATCAACCGTACATTAAGACAACTCTGAAGGCTATATCAAGAAGAGTCCCGGGGTCTTGGTGAAATTGTTGAGAGTGAGAGTGATTCTTGGTCTTCAAGTTCTCAAAGTGAAGCAGTGACGAGACAAGAAGAGGACATTTTGTTTCGTGAGTTTGGAAACCCGGAGGACTATGAAATCATGGGTGGGATCTTGTTACCCGTCACAGAAACCAATTTCACCATCCATCCCCAATATAATATACAAGGATGGTACAAGCGGAGCAATTCTCGGGTTCTCCAAGTGAAGATCCAATAGAGCACCTTGATAGATTTTTTGAGCTTTGTGCCATGATTCAAACTAATCAAGTTTCTCAAGAGTACATTCGTATGCACTTATTTCGACAATCTCTCTTGGGTAGGGCCAAGAAGTGGCTTAAGCAAGTCAAGCCAAATTCTCTCACAACATGGAGGGATACAGTCAAGGCATTCTTGAAGAGATTCATCTCCGAGGAGAAGACCGACGAAATGAGAAGGAAAATTGCATCATTTGAACAAGAACCGGATAAGAGCCTTAGTGAAGTTTGGAAAAGGTTTAAAGAGTTGGTACAAGCATGTCCTCACCATTAATATAATCAAAGCTTGCTCATGCGATTCTTCTATGATGGTTTGGAACCTATGTCTAGAGCTAACTTGGATGCGGGGGCGGGTGGACAATTGATCAAGATACCCCAAAATCAAGTTGAAGAAACAATTGAAAAGGTGACTAAGAATTACTCTTAGGGTGGTAGAAGGAGGAATACACCCAAGAAAGGTGGGATGTATGAATTGGAGAAGGCTAATCAATTGCAACATCTAATTAAGCTTTCGACAAAAGGGCTTTCCAAGTTGAACACGAGTGTTAAAAGTGGGACAAGCTCCTCACAAGTCAATTCTTTCTCTTGTCAAAATTGTGGTGGTACAAACCACGATACATCTTATTGTGGAGGTTTGAGCCCCGAGCATGTGGCGGCATATAACACAAGGCAAGATGTTATAGGGGAAATGGAGGTGGGGTAGCTTAGAGACAACCACCCCCCCGGTTTTGCACCTTAACCCCAACAATGGAACAAACAAGCTCAACCATCTTACAATTCAAACCCTCAACACCGAAACCCACCTCCACCTCAAAACCAAAACCCAAGAGGGAACTACCCTAGAAACAACCAATACAACAACCAAAGCCAATACAACTATCAAAACCATGTTTCTCAAAGGAATCAAGATCAAGCATCTCAACCCGATACCACACAAACCCAAATTCTTCAACAACTCCAAGCTATGAACCAACAAATGCAAGAGGTCAAGGCCCATAACAAGATGGTGGACTCCTAATTAGCCCAATTGTCCAAAAGAGAATCCTTCAATTCACCTTCTACTTTACCCGGACAACCACAACCTAACCCATCTCATAACATCAAACCCGACTCTTGCAAGGCAATCACATTGAGGTTGGGAGCAGAAGGTCCAAAAGAGAAGGTTAGTGAAGAAAACAAGGGTGAAGAAGAGGGTGTGAGTGAGGATAAGGGAGTTGAGGAAGAAAAAGTTGTTGAGAAAGAAGAGAGTGTGAATAAGAAGCTTAAAGAAGAGAAGACAACTTCAATTCCTAGTGAAGCTAGGAATCTTGATGGGCCGGTCCCATTTCCCGGTCGACTTGCGGAGAGTAAATTTAATGACAAGTTTGCAAAGTTCCTTAGTGTGATGAAGAATTTTCACATCAAACTCCCTTTCATTGAAGTTGTCACACAAATGCCTTCATAATCCTAGTTCCTCAAAGACATTCTCACCAACAAGAGAAAGTTCAATGATGATCTCATCACTCTTTCCCATCAAGTGAGTGCACTTGTTCAACATAAGATGCCCAAGAAGGAAAAAGATCCGGGAAGCTTCACCTTGCTGGTAAAAATTGGAAACATGGAAGCTAAGGGTTCCTTACCCGATCTTGGAGCAAGTGTTAGTTTGATCCCTCTTTTCATTGCTCAAAAACTCAACATAGAGATGATTCCTACAATGAAATCATTCAATTGGCCGATCGTTTGGTGAAACTACCTTTTGGTGAGCTTGAGGATGATCCTATCCAAGTAGGGCACATATATGTGCCTTGTGACTTTGTAGTGATGGACATGGAGGAAGATGTTGACACTCCTTTGATCTTGGGTCGTGAAGCTCTTAAAACTTTGGGGGCGGTCATTAATTGCAAGAGCAACACCGTAACAAGTGAAGTGGCCGATGAGAAGATTGTATTTGAGTTCTCTAAGTTGCTTAAGATCCCCATGGTTGAGAAGTTTTATAGAGTAGATGTTGTGAATGAAGAGTTGGATCGCTTGGGAAGGATAATGATGAAGAATGATGCTATGGTTGAAGCTCTTACATGCAAGGAAGAGTACCACTCACAAGAAGCTAAAGATCTAGTCATGGCCATGGAAGAAGCTCCCAAAGAGGAAGAAGTTGAACAACGACAAGAAGTTGTGCTTGAGAAAAAGGAGGAGAGTCCCAAGCCTCCTCCCAACGTAGAATTAAAACCCTTTCCCCCCTCTTTGAAATATGCTTATCTTGGAAATGAAGGGGAATACCCTATTATTGTCAATGCTACCCTTAATGGTCTTGATTTGGAAAAATTGCTTGTTGTTTAGAGGTAATATAGAGATGTGATAGGGTATAGTATTGATGATATAAAGGGTATTAGACCCTCTTTGTGCATGCATCGAATTCATCTTGAAGATGATTAATCTACCTCAATTGAACCTCAAAGGAGGTTGAACCCCAACCTCCAAGAGGTTGTCAAGAAGGAAATTTTGAAATTGCGTGAAGCGGACATTATTTATGCTATCTTCGATAGCAAGTGGGTTAGCCCGGTTCACGTGGTTCCAAAGAAAGGTGGAATGACCAACATCAAGGGAGAGGAGGTGAAAGGAATGGTGTCCTTCCAACAAGTGTATTATTCTGATAGAGGGTTCAGAATTATCAGGAAGCTAATTCTTCAGTGAGATCAAGTGATATTAGTGAACAACTGATATTACAGCTTTGTCTTGACTGAACCCTTCGGGTCGAACCCAAACGAACTGCCGATCCGAACCGACGAATCAATCCGAAGGACTTGATGAGTCACTAGAGTATTACGAATACTGACGTCGGATATCGAGCCTAGGGCGTCGAGACTGAGCGCCGCAAAATCAACAAGCAACAAGTTCGAGCAAAGCCGTAGCATCACATTGGCCTTGCCAAGTGGTTGTTAGGCAAGCTTGAGCTAGCACAACATCATGGTGTGCGTGCGTGCGCGCCTTCGCATGGTGTGTGCGTGCGTGCGTTCCTTTGCATGGAAGCACCATCGCAACACTCTGGTGTGCATGCGTGCATGCCTTCGCATGGCAACACCATCGCAGCACCATGGCTTGCGTGTGTGCGTGCCTTCGCATGGCACAACACCATCGCAGCGTGCTTGCTTGCATATGTGCGTGCCTTCGCATGGAAACAACCAAGAAGCAAGCAGTAAGCAGCGAGGCCTAGCCCAGCGCCTAGCACTGTTGTGCGCTCAGCAGCATGCGTGGCTCGCTAGCAGCACGCATGTGCTCGGGCGTGCTGGCATGGCTGTGCTAGCTGGCCACCAAGGCAGGCTGCCAACCCAGGCTTGTCCTTGATGCCGGTTTAGGAGGAGTGGGGACAAATGCTTGGAGCAAAGCCTTGGGGAGCACGACAATAGTCCCCCCTTTGGTTATGGTCCTCACCTAACCTCTCCTCTCCTCATGCCACTTGTTGATTGTTGATTGCATTGATTTATAATTTATTTTTGATTTAAATAAATTAGTAGAAAATGCAACTATCCCACATTGATCATGAATGGGAAGAGCAAGTTGCATTTCCTTATAAATACCCCATGATTGGGCATTTGGAAATCAACTTGAGTGGAACTCAAAAAGGAATCTCTTATTATTGAGAAAACCTTTAAGTTCGTAAAACTCTAGTTTTATACTTGGTCAAGTCTCGACTAACCCTCGAGGCGAAGATCGTTCGGGTCGGGTCGTGGGTACGAGCCGTTGGAGGCCGTCACGCTTGTGAGGCTTTAAGCTTCCAAGTAAGAGCTCGGTTTACGAGCGAAGCACGCTTCAAGAGTATTACTTTTTTCTCCCTTCTCTTAATTCTTGTTTAATTATGTTTATGCATGATTTATTGCTTTAATTATTGGGGCGGGTCTTGGGCGGGTTTCTCTTCCGCGTAGCGTTGGACGCTATGAAACCCAACAGTGGTATCAACGCCAGGTGGTTTTTAATTATTGCAATTTGTAATTAATTATGGTGATTTAAAATGGATTTAAGTTTCTGGTTGTCCTTTTAATTGGATTAGAAGCTCGTTTTAATTAATTTTAAAACTCGTATTTTTTTAATTTTGGTTATCGAACCCAGATTTCGACTAAAAATAGTGATTTTTGGGTGGAATATATGTTCTAAATCGTTTCGGGTTCTTTTAGGGATGTCTAGAAGCCAAAATCCTCCTAGAAATATGTTTTTCGAGGGGTTTTTCGTTTTTGACAAAAAAAAATTTAAATCTTTATGCCTTGATTAATTTATGCATGTCAAGGGTAGATTAAATGCATTGTTTCATCCCTAATCTATAGAAATTTTAAACCCTTTTAGGCATGGTTATGAAGTCATAATGTGTGCTTAAGTTGTTATGTTCAATTTTTCACATAAACTTGTTATTTCACAATCATGCAAATCAATTGCATTAAAGTGTGAATGTTTATTGTGAATGTGAAATTTTAAAGTTCCTAGTATATTAAAGATCCAATCTTTAAGTGTTTAAATGGTTGGAACTTTGATTCTAAATTCCATGGTTGAACTAATTTTGGATTTAATCATTATTGTGTTGATTAAAGTCCTTAAAGTTCAAGTACTTGTGATTAAATCTTGATTAATCTTCATATTGGAAGATGTAATTTTATTATTTTACACAAGTTAAAAGTTGGAAAAATTTTCATTGTATGATTGGTTTCATTTTCCAACTCCCTACTTTGTCAAAACTCATCATTAATTTACATTTGAGTTAAATTAATTTTGGGTGTAGCCCTTCAATTTTAAAGCATAAAGAAAGACTTAAATTATTTCAAAAGGGCAATTTTGGATGATTTAGGCTTGTGCACCATTAAAATTAAATTTAATTAAGTCGGACTTATTTTATTTTCATTTTGCCCTAAATTGATTCTAAAATAAATTTAGGATTAATTTTATGTCACACGTAAATCGGGATTAAAATCCTGAGAAACGGCACGCAAATCGAGGCAAAAACACCCAAGCGTCACCAAGGCTAGCCGGGCTGCCTAGCAGCCCACATGTGGCTGCCTTAGGTGCGCACAAGGGTGCCTATGCCTTGAAGTGCTGATGTGCTGTGTGGCAAGGCTGTTGTGTGCTGCCTTGTGCTAGGTGCGTGGCTGGGCTGCTAGATGTGCTTAGGCAAGCTGCTGGGCAGCATGGCAGCAAGCCCCAGCCAGTCTGCCATACGCTGCCAGGCGCCAGCTAGCAAGCTAGCATGCGCAGCATGCATAGCGAGCTGCTAGTGCTGGCTGGCGTAGCACGCTACGCTGGGCGTGGATGCTGGCACCTAGCACAGTAGGCGCAACTCTCGTATTTTGTTGGTCGGTTGTTTTTGCTTAAATTTTGGGCTATCGGTTTTGCAAAATTTTGTTGTTTTAATTTTATTTAAAAATTTTAACGAGGTTAGACCTCGATTTTTCCGGCTCTTGCAAAATTTTAATTTTGACAAAATTTGGGTTTACCGGCTTAATTAATTAGATTAATTAAGTTGGATGCGAAATTTAGTGGGAGCTTATGAATTATTTTTTGAACAAATTGCGCCTTAGAAACATAATATGTTAAACAACTTTGACTAGTTTTAATTAGGCGTGTTAATGGGATTAACCACCTAAGTTAGTTACTAGTTTTTGCGTGTTGTGCAATTTACTTGTTTTTCGTCGTAAAATGGATGGGCCATTCACATATAGTGAATGGATGAATGGAAATATATTGTTTCACAGGTTTTGAGAAAATGACAACTAGTGGGACCCGACTAGGATAGAAAATACGGACTGCGTTCCATTACGTATTTTTGTAAACGGTACGCACCGTTAAGTATTTTTGTACCTTAATATTTAGATTAATCTTAGTCGTAGTAGCTAGTAATTTTATTTTGGCGAAGATGTCTCAAGACGGCGTTTCGATGAAGACGAGCCAAGATGAAGACCCTTGAAGATTTGAAGATTTCAAGGGGTCATGCTAGTTGCCAAATGCATCTATTTTTGCTTTACATATAAATATTATTGTGCTTATATATATTTAAATGTTAGATGCATGTCTAGGATTTCAAATGTTGCGATGATTAGTTAAGTTCACTTAAATCAACCAACATAGAAACCCTAGGTCCCTAAAATATTGAGCTAAAATTTGTCGTTCCAAGAACAACACTTACCGAACTAATGCGCGTACGTGATGGGCTACGCCAAAGCGAGGCATCACTACTTCCCTAGGAATGTAAGGTATACTAGGTATACAAGTTGATCTTGGTTAAGCTCAACGATATCAGTAAGGAGTCCTTAGATGTCGTGGCAAAAGAGATGAAATGTCAAGAATGCATTAGATGCGACGTTTTATCAAACCGGGAGTAGCTTAGAGCTATTAACAATTGGATTGCTTACCTTAAGATATTTAATGTTAAGACAAGCCAAAGCATGCTTAATCATTTCTTGATCTTTAGGATCTCGGAATCATTTTATTCTCGCCAAAAGGGACAAATATTAATGCGTGGATAAAATGATCAATAAGATTGAAAATTTGCATGAATGCTTTTAAATTTCAAACTTATTGATTATATGAATGGTTTTTCATTTCAAATTCTTTCAATTGTATAACCATGTCTGCAAGTAACTCAAACAACCAGTTTTCATTACGCTCAATTCTCGACAAGGAGAAATTGAGTGGGCCAAATTTTCTCGATTGGCAAAGGAATTTGTGTATTGTTCTCATGCAAGAGCAAAAGGAATACGTCCTTGATGAGGAAATGCCCGACTTTCCCAATGAGGAGGTCACTCAGGCTGCCCTTAAGCGATGGCAAAGTGCCAATCGGGATGTCAAATGCATCATGTTGGCCACTATGTCTCCGGACCTTCAAAAGACTTTCTTTGAAAAGGAGACGGCTTTTGAGATCATTTCTGAGCTTCAGAATATGTTTCAAGAGCAGGCCCGAACTGAAAGGTTCGAAACCCACAGGCAGATCCTTGAGAGCAAGCTCAAGAAAGGAGAGCCGGTTAGCCCGCATATTCTTAAAATGATTGGATTGTTTGAGAACATGGAAAGGCTCGATGCTGGGTATTCAACCGAGATGGCATCATTCTCCACTCGCTGCACAAAGGCTATGATCAGTTCAAAATGAACTATAATATGCGCAGCATGGAGAAAACTCTCACCAAGCTTCATGGTATGTTGAAGCAGGCCGAGCAAACCCTCAAAGATGAGGGAAAGCA